CAGGTGAGAAAGAAAAACGGGCTTTCCCCACCCACCCCGCAGGCCTCCGCAGGCAGGAAACAGCCTGTTTCCCTACTTCTGGTGGGCCCAGAAGGCCCGAAAATCAGCTAGCCAGCGCACGCATGCGCGCCAGAGCTGAGCTGGCATGCCCACTGATATGGCTACACGTGCCACCTGCCGCCATCACGGCCCTATACCATTTCAGACAAATAGCTGTCAAATATCTTCTTAAAAACCTCTAGTGATGGAACACTCACAACTTCTGAAGGCAAGCCATTCGACTGATTAATTGCTCTCACTGTCAGGAAATTTCTCCTTATTTCTAGGTTCTAGTAATAGTAACTAATTTTTGGTTAGTTTCCACCCTTTACTTCTTGTCCTGCCTTCAGGTGTTTTGGAGAATAGGTTGACCTCTTCCTCTTTGTGGCAACTCCTCAAATATTAGATATTTATTGGCACTACTTCACATATTCTTAATTTGTTTTTAAACATCACAGTTCAAAGAGCACAAGCAGAATTTCATTCTATGGGCATAATTATCAAATCCAATTGGGCAATTGCAAAGTCTGTTTCTCCTGCAGGACCATAAATAATGTCTAACTTTCTGTAGTAGGCATGGTATAGTCCTCCAGTCCCTCAGTGATTTTCTTAGAGCAGACTTTGCTTTTACATGTTTTGATTCTTTCCCCATTGACCAAGGTCCTGTCATATAGATCAATAGAGATTCAACTAACTGAATTCACATCAAACCTTTTGATATCAGCAGCTATAGTTTTGCCCTGTTGGTTAATTTTTCCCATCGTCAATATCTCGGCTTTCCAAGTTATTTTGATCTCCTCTCCATCTATCATGGACAAGTCTTCTATTCAGATCTTGGTTCTCTTTGCTTTTGAGTTTGAAGAATTTGATTCCACAACCCCTCCAGGACAAATATAGCAGGATATACTGGCTTGTTGGAAGCTTTCCCTAAGGACTTTTTCATGCAGCTAAATGGAAATCCTCTGAGAACTTCAGACAGAAATAGTAATTGAATCCTGCGCAATATCAGATCCATTTTTATTCAGATGAAGAAGACTTGTCTCTCTCTTCAGTTGTATTAAAAAGCGCGGCTGGTATCCATGGACAGTAGCATTTACCTGGGCAGAATTAATAGAGGGTCTGAGCCACCTGCAATTTGGCTGCTGTTATGAAGCAAATTGCAGGCTAGCAGACCACTTTAGTAATGATCGATGCGGAAGTGTCACCTTAAGATCAAAACTCCTGTTCCATTATAGAAATGGGTAATTGGTGAACCAGATATTGATCGCTGCACTTCCACCAGTCATCACAGCCAATAGTAAAGGATATTGGAAGTCACAATTTAGGTCCTGTTTGCTGGAGTTGTACTATTTTAAGAACCAGCTGTTGTAGAGAATGCAGGAAGGATGCCTGCTTGTCAGCTTTCCAACCATGTTGGACTGCTGGCTATTGTCAGAAAAGATTAAACTTTGCCTGGATTCAGCTGAGCAGTTCTTATGTTTTACTTCACAGCCTTTTTGATTTAGCTCTTGGGAAGTTGGTGCACCCAGGCACGGGAAGGGATTACAAAGCACACAAACCAGCCTGGTGTTGGATTTGCACTCCCTCCCAGAGATGAATATTTTCCTGAAGATTTATACCACCTAACTCCCTTACCTCACAAAAAGCAAGAGAAAACAACCCATTTTAGTCAAACAAATTAACTCCTCTGCTGTTTAAAGATCACATTATTTATGCAGGAATGTGGAGCATTAAGCAGGGAAAAGATGAATGTGCTGTAGGGTAGTGCTGTTAATTTTTCTTCGTGAATAAAGGAGACAAATCCAGGTATGGAAAAGGTTGCTTATATTTTGCTTTATGAGACAAAATATAGAGCAACGCTTTGGAAACCACACTATTAAAATTCCTGGAGCTGTGATTTAATGCAGTATATCTGTTTCCTTTGTGTTCATTTTTTCATAAAAGCATCTTTCCTTTTTTAATTACTAGAGGAGAAAGGAAACAAATAGAAAAGTAGCAGTGTTATGCCTTCCATGCCCTGTTTTTTAATTGGATTGGTCTAATCAAGAAAGCCAGTCTCCCTCTCTCTCTCTCTCTCTCTCTCTCTCTGTCTCTCTCTCTCTCTCTCTCTGTCTCCCTCCCTCTGTCTTTCTTCCTCCCTCTCTCTCCCCCTCTTCTCACCCTCCCTTTGTCCAGGGGTGAAATCCAGCAGGTCCTGACAGGTTCTGGAGAAACGGTAGCAGAAATTTTGAGTAGTTCGGAGAACTGACAAATACCATCTCTGGCTGGCCCCAGAATGGAGTGAGAATGGAGATTTTGCAATATCCTTCCCCGAGGAGTGGGGAGGGAATGGGGATTTTGCAGTATCCTTCCCCTGGAGTGGGGTGGGATTGGAGATTTTGCCGTATCCTTCCCCTGGAGTGGGGTGGGAATGGACATTTTGCAGTAACCTTCCCCTGCCACACCGACCAAACCACACCATACCCACCAAGCCACACCCACAGAACCGGTAGTAAAAAAAAAATGAATTTCACCACTGCCTTTGTCCCTCTCTCTCTCTCTGTCTCCCCCTCTCCCCCTCTCTCCCTCTCTTCTTCCCCTCTCCCCCATGTGTGTGTGTAAAAATAAACAGGTGTCCTCAATTTATGACTGGGTTATCACTTAGCAAGTGTTCAGAGTTACAATGGACTCCTCTAAAAGTCTTTACAACCTAATCCAAAAGTTCCAACAATCATTGACCCTGTGGTGCATGACTGCATTTCAAGCACTCCGCAACTGGTCTGTATTTAGGGCCATTTTCAGCATCCCACAGTTACATGTCTGCAATTTGCAATATTTTTGCCAAAAGCTGGCCTTTGCTTCCAGTTTTGAGCAAAAACACCCCATATCAAACAGTGGGTTCACTTAACAACTGTGACATTCACTTAACAACCACCACAAAAAAATGTCATAAATTTGGGTTGGTCACATGGGTGACCCATATTACAACCTTCATGACTTACAGGCTCAGTTACAATGGTAAGTGGAGGACTATCCATATATTCATATTTATGAGGTATATTCAAAGTGCTGGTTGTTACCCATGAGGCTTAAAGTTTGGTGTTCAATTATATCAGGGATGATTCTGCCCATCCAGGCTAATTATCAAGGTTGAGAAAGCCACCCATTGAGAGATCAAATGGGAGAGGAACAACATGATAGGCATTTTTAGTAACGAATGTCACTCTCTGGAATACTGTCTCCAGAAATACAGGTAGCCCTGACTATTTTTTGCATAGGAAAACCATTTTTGCTATTATTATTCAGTCTGGCTTTTGATCCATTCTGTGATTTTTGGGTTACCATTTTTATTACACCGAAGATCATTTTGTATGGAGGTTTTTTTGTATTATTTTTCTGTTTTGTTTTCATTGTGCCCTACCCAGAATCCTAGTGAATAATGCAATATACAAAATATACAAAAATAAATTACTGTTTTGGATTCAATCATCTGTTCTCTTGGGGTACATCCAGACTTCAACCTTTCTATAGTGATAAATTTTTATCTTCTTACATCTCTTATTAGATTTGGAGGGATCTTAGTCTATGCCCAGCTATGTGGCAGTACCAAAATGCCTTTGGCTCATTTTGAAAAATTAAGCAGTGTTAGACCTAATTAGTACTTACTTGGACGATTATAAAGAAATCCTTAAAGGCTAGACTGGAAAATTGAAAAATGTCCCGGAAAAAGAAGTAATCGATTATTTCCATATCATTACCACAGATAGGTTTATGTTGTCCCCAGTACTTCAATGTTGTGTTTGTGCTCCTTGGTGCTTTCTGATCTTGGTTGTTTTCTCTACAGACATTTTCTTGCACTGATGATATTACCTACTTACCTATTGAAACATCTGCAAGAAAAGAACCAAGCTCAGAGAGCACCAAGGACCTCACAGTTCAACACTGAGCTGCCAATATTCTCTTCTATGAATTCAGTGTGAAGGAGACTCAAAGTTTATTATATATCCAGTTGAATAAAATAGATTTTTCAGCTATAGGAAGCACAGCTTGAGATGCTACAGAGTTAGAGTAGTCCAATGATGGACAGGGGAGATTGCTCAGTGTTTTTTAGCACATCGCCATGAGTTTCATTATTTACTCCAGTTGACTAACAGGGCCAAGAACTGACTATGTTCAGGTTGCCAAAAAAGAATGCCTAGGGGGAACGGGGGGGGGGGGACACAAAAATGGATTTTTGCAAAAAAAAAATAAAATAGGTTTTATGACCTTGTTTCTGATTCTGAAAGTGACAAATTCCTGGGCTGTTCATTTGCTCAGGGCATCTGTTCTTTAATTCTTCTCCACTGCTTGATTAATGGAGATCAGTAGGTTTCAGGGTTCTAGGGAAAATTGCAAAAAGTCAATAAACCTGAAATCTCTGCATTCATGGGCAACATTGAGCGTAGACCTGGGGTTGATAAGCTTTTGATTTATTAATATTATGGATTGCCCTTTCCTTTTATTTGGGGTCGGGGGGGTTGGTTAGTGCTTCTACCAGACGTTTGATTCTTAATTTATATTTTGCCTCAGTATGATATAAAATTCCACCATCCATTTTTGGCAGTTGAATCACTGAATACTTGACGGTTTGTTGTTTCAGGAATGAAAAAAAAGAATTGGGGAGAGATTCCAAGGACAATAGGTTATCTAAATCTGGCTCAGATAGACCAGTAATTTGATAGCTTCGCATTTATGTATACAAAATCTGAAGGTCTCTTAACAGAAGAAAATAGTGGGACTTGCAGAACAGAGAAGAGAGAAGAGAAAAGAAAGGAAGTATCTATAGTTTAGATTACAGAGGGTTTCATCTGTATTTTTGAATGGTAATCGTTCGACGTTACAGTAAACTACACTCAAAGCTTATTTTTTCTCTAATATTGGAAGACATTTATAGGTCTTTTCTGAAAATGCTGAATTGCTAATGCTCTTTTTTTTTCCTCCAGACAACAAAGAGCTTTACCTGTCAAAAGCAGTTCACAAATCTATCCTTGAAGTTAATGAAGAAGGTTCGGAAGCTGCTGCTGCTTCAGGTAACTTCCTAAAAGTGTGGACAGAATGACATGCTCAGCCTTTTAGCAAAAAGGATGTATTCCCGCAGAATAAACTGGGTGGGGATGAAGCAAGCAGTAGGTGGGAACCTCCTACTCCTCCTCTTGTCAAAGATTGGCAAAATACTTTTTTGGCAGAGATGTCAAGATTTGGAATTTTGCTAGAAAAGCTTGTAGTATAGCTAACAGCCTGCTAGAGGCTTGGGATTTCACCTCAATCAATCTTTGATCGTTGGCTGGGAATGATGAGCGTTGAAGTCCAAACAGTCTTCAAGGGCCTAGATCGGTGTCGGTAACCCACGGCTCCAGAGCCGCATGTGACTCTTTGACCTCTATCCTGCAGCTCCCTGCCAATCCGGTCGCACGACCTACTCTCCACCCCAAAACACTGACCCAACTCGGCTGTGGCCAATGCCAACCTTGCTAACATGAGGGATGGCGGAATGGGAATGGGATCTGGGAGGAGGGTATGATGGAAAGGGGGACAGGCCCGCAGCTGAGGAGCAACCACGAGCCACGGTGGCAGCTTCCCCGAAGATGACCCTCCTCCTTCTCCTCATGTGACCCACTGGCCGGCTGTTGCAGGGCCAGGAGGGTGCACACAAGCAGGGATACCCTCAAGCGAGCGGCCAGGCTTGTCCAAAGCGCAGCGAAGGCGCACGGAGCGGGTGGGTATGACCGACTGATGGGTGAACGTCTTTGGTGAGGGTGCTCCGGTTTTCTCCAAGCCTGATCCCTGGGGTGGCGTGCGCGGTTCGGTGGGGCAAGCCCCCTTTTCCCACTGCCCTCAACTCCTCCAGTTGAGTGGTGCCAGCAGCATTGATTGAAAAGCATCCTCTGGGCGGCGAAAGTCCCCCATGCAAGATTTAAAGCCACCTGGAGGACACTTTTCAATCAACACCACCGGCAGCACCACTCCACTCGCTTGCAGAGGGTATCCCTGCTTGTGTGTGTGTGTGTGTGTGTGTGTAAGAGTGAGAGATGAGAGAGAGAAAAGGGGAGAAAATGAGAGAGAAATGAGAAAATGATGGAGGGAGAGAATAAGAGAGAAAGAAAAGAGAGGGAAACAAAGGAGAGAAAGAAGGGGAGAGAAAGAAAAAGAAAGAAGAAAGAAAAAGAAAGGAAAGGAAGGAAGGAAGGAAGGAAGGAAGGAAGGAAGAAAGAAGGAAAAAGAAAGAAAGAAAGAAAGAAAGAAAGAAAGAAAGAAAGAAAGAAAGAAAGAAAGAAAGAAAGAAAGAAGAGGGAGAAATGAGAAAATGATGGAGGGAGAGAATGAGAGAGGAAAAAGAGAGAGAAACAGAGAGAGAGAAGGGGAGAGAGAGACGGAGAGAGAAATGAGAGAGCTGGAGGAAGAGAATGAGACAGAAGGAAAAGAGAAGGAAACAAATGAGAGAAAGAAGGGGAAGAGAAAGAAAAAGAGAGAGGGAGAGAGGAAAAAGAGAGAAAAACAGAAATGTGAGGGAGGGAGAGCGAAAGAGAGAACCATTTCCCACAGAAAACACAGGGAGCCACAAAACCTGGGTAGGCATGGCTGGGGAGGGGGGCGGGTCATGTGACTGGGTGGGAGTAACGTTGAGTTGGCCACGCTCACCCAGATCTTGTGGCTCCCAGTGTTTTCTTTTCTGTGGGAAATGGGTCCAAATGGCTCTTTGAGTGTTTAAGGTTGTAGACCCCTGTCCTACGTCCTGTCCTGCCCTGCCCTGCCCTGCCCTGCCATGGTCAGCCAGTGGTAAGCTTCAGAGCTGAATTTTCCTCTCCTTAATTCAAACCCAACCATCCTAACAAGATCCTCCTTGTACAAGGAGGTGGAGGAGAGGCAAGCTCCTGGTGGTGTAACCCCAGCCATGGAAGATTGCTAACCTGATAAGCATATGAAGCAGGACCATGACATTTATCCTCTCATTTTCATCAGCCAAAATAATTAATGGCTTAGCTCCCAAGACAGCTGTGCAGATAAATACTTCATAGTACAGTGCAACACACCTTGAAAAGGGCAATTTCAGAAGAGCTATTTTGGAGGACATTTTCCCATACTTTCTAGCCATTTGCTTACCTTTCTGGTAAGGTCAATGAGTGGGCAGAAAGCTCATTTAAAACTTGCCTTCAAGCCTTGAAAAATTGGGAGGAAGGCCTTGTCTGCACTTAATTGCAGTCTTAGCATTATCGTGAGGAGGAGGTTATCCTGTGGTATTGGATCAAGTCCAGTACCATAGTACTGTCCTGGGGGAAAGCAAGCCCTAATCTTTAAAATATAAAGCCTACTTTTCAACTTAGTCCTGTATCTGTCTTTAGATGAAACAGAAGTCAACAGAAGGTAGACGGGTATATGTCAAAAGAATTAGAGATTATTTAGACTGTGTACTAGGTTTTTTTTAAAAAAGGCAATAGAAACTTGGCAATTTGGAATTGCATTATGTGTGCATAATATATTTGAATTCTGAGTCAAGAAAATTCTGCAGCCGATTCTTTTCCATGATTTATTCTTCTCCTGCCCGCAGCCTTTGATTAAATGTCTTTGTAATACCAGAAGGAGGGAGGCTGGACTGCAACACCAGTGTGAAGAGATAAAAATATCCCTTTGCTCTTTATCAGAAGCATCAGGTTGCAGCTATATAACATTACCTCAGTTTGCAAGACGTTTCTGTTTCCAAATGAGCTGGCAATCAGGCACAAAATAAAAAAAAAACCTGTAGAACAGAATGGGCAATCTGCAGCTCTAAGCCCCTGTTTTGTGACTACTATGACTGAATATTAAGAAGCAAATTTCTTATCATTTTGAGCTAGGAAACACTTGAAGTCTAAGCCTTAACTTTATCATTGAAAGTATTTTTAAAAGGGTTGAAAACAATCCCAAATTTCACCTCGCCAATCCCCCCACATTTTACCTCTCCAATCCCCCAGTCCTGGTAAGGCAGTGTTTCCCAACCTTGGCAACTTCAAGATGTGTGGACTTCAACTCCCAGAATTCATCATCCAGCATGGTGGAATGGCTGGCTGGGGAATTCTGGGAGTTGAAGTCCACACATCTTCAAGTTCCTAAGGTTGAGAAAGACTGTGCTAAGTAAGATAGGAGATATGGTCCCATCCATATTGCATCCTTGTCCTGCCTATTTCACAGCTCAGCTCCTCCCCCAACAAAGTGACCCATTTGAATATATTTGAATAACGCACACCAGATGGCAGAACGACTTGCTTACTACATACAAATATTTAACTTTTGCTCCCGCAGATTTTTAAAATAATTTTAAAACATTCTCTTTTTAGTTTCAATTCATGTATCAATTTCCTTTTCTTTTAATACATAGAAAAGCACAATCTTTGAAGAAAGCCCCATTCCTACTGATCAGATTCCTCAAAACTACGTAGACAGTTATTCATTTCATGGCTGGGAATGCGTGAAAGTTTTATTTATTTATTCCATGACTATCTCCTTTATATATGTCAGTATAATAAAGATAAAAGTTAATAAAATGCTTGCAAACTGTAAAGCTCTAGAGAGTCATTAAAGTCTTACAAATTTAATTAAGACTAAATTTTGCCTTAATACTAATGTATTTGAACTACAATATTTCCTGTTTATACTGATACTACAAATTAAATCTGCATATTTTGGATGTCTCCACTTAAGTGTCAGGAAAAAAAAACAGAGCTTCCTGGATGCTAATTCAAGTAGATAGCGAATCTGGTAAGAGATGACCAGGTTGAACCTGAGGGCGGAGTTAAATACATCATTAGTCTAGAGTTCCTACACCCCACAAAAGAGAGCCCCACTGGAAGTCCATTGACTGTTATCTGCTGTCAGCTTGCCTTCACTGTTAGTTGATCAGATTCTTGTATAGATTGTATGGAATAAACTTGCAGTGCTATTGAACTCTTATACTGACTCCTGGTTTCATGCCTCTGAAAATCCTTTCCAAACAGTATAGGTCAGGGTGTCAAACTCGCAGCCCGCAGGCCAGATGCGTCATGCACTAGCCACGCCCATGCCCAGTTTAGAAAAGGAGGAAAAAGTCACGATACATCATGACGACGCCGTGACTACGCAACTTTGACACCACTGGTATAGCTATGGGAAATTCTGGGTTGGGATGATCAACATTATAGTCCCATATATCTCATGCTCATCAAGTTGGAGAACTCCTTGCAATTCAATGAAGAGTTAATTACTGGTCCCCTGCTATTGGCAGTTGTGATTAGAAACAAATGTCTTATACTGACTGTGTTCTCACAACAAGCCAAGCTCTATTGGTTTTTTGGGTTGCTATATAATGTCAAAACCCATACTATAGATTAAATTATGGGTTAGAAGGAGCATTTTAAGTCAGGTTCTTTTGACTTTGTCTGGTTTACATTTGTTTGTGTTAACTACATTAATCATGATCTAGGATGTGCTCTGACATTTGTATTTCGGTTAAGGGTTAACATAGAGTTAAGCAGCATTAGTCTTTCAAACAGAAAATGGAGAAACAGTAAGTAAAATTGTCTTGTAGCAGTTTGACTGTCTTCTCACCCCTGTTGACTATGAGTCTTTTACAAAGGAAAAGGACAACAGAAAGAATAGGCTTTCCTTCATTCTACAGATGGTGACTTAGTCAGGGGTTTGTTAGGCTGCCATTTAAGAAAATAAATTACAGAATGCCAGATCAAGAGGCAGATCTCTAGCATAATCTTGGCAACTTTAAGATGGATGGATTTCAATTCTTAGAATACTCCAGCCAGCATAAGAGATTCTGGCTTGGGATGCGAGGAACTGAACTCCATTCATATTAAATATGCCAAGGTTGGGAAAAATTGCTCTAGCAATAATAAATTGGCTGTGTTTTGAGTGAATTTTTTTTTACCCTTAATTTCTCACATTTAGTATTTCTCATAACACTAGGTTTTATGGAACCCTGTTTTGAAAAACCCTGATATATGTCTCCATCGGCAACCACAGACTTTTTTCATTGTTGTAATTAGGAAAATAACAACAGGGCAACAGACTAACCAATCAGGAACTATTGCTGAGATAATAAGCAAGATAGAGTGAGACTAATGTACTGTGGCTTGCTGTGTCATTTTGAGGTAATTTATTAGATTAATGTAATGAACCATGATAATGACTAAGCCACTGTCCCACTAAATCCAGCCTTACTGGAGCAAATTCTTCCCTTCTCCAAATCTCATTTCTGTCTTGCTCTTAAGTGGGGCCTTCCATCATTCCTGTCATTAAGGCAAACCAAGTTTCCTTTAAACAGCCTCTCAAGGTAGAATTTGAAAGAGATTTCAAATCCCAGATTAAAGGAAATTTTGATTTGCTTAAACCAAAGTAAATGATTAAGGGATGAATCTGATTATAAAGGACCACAGGAGATTTATCTAATTGGAAACCAGACCAATTCACAGCGAATAAGTCAATATAAAAATGAATTTAAGAGTGGTAGGCAGTGTCCTCTTTATAAGACAGGGAGTTAGTGTTATCATCTCAATAAGGAATATTATCTCTGGTTGAAAGTACTCTAGCAGTGTCACTGTTGTGATAGCGAAGGTAATCAAAATATATCATTTGAAAATTTTGCAAGTATTAAATCGGAATTTGCATCCATTTGCAGTGAGAATTCTGAGGATCAGAATAAAGATTTCATAGTAAGAGTGCACTCCTGAGAATTATTGTGGCCAATCAGGATTAAGATAACACATGTTTCATTGAAAGTATCTGTTCTGTATTTAGCAATAACCCAAGTGGGTGGTGGGGTTATCCAGTGTAATGACTTCCCCTCGGAAGGGAATGGATGTAATAAGTCTCCCAAGTCAGCTTGTTTGTAAGTTATAAACTGTTCCCAAAGTGGTGGAAATAAATTGTGCCGCTACCAGTTGTTAATCATTCACAAAACATATCTAGACACATCCATTTCTTTCTAAATCTTTCTTGGTTTTAGATTAAATTTGTGCCTCCTGACAATCCTGTTAGTTATGATGGGTTTTTAATCCTTGTTTATGCACTTTAGGTGTGCTACAAATGGACTGGCAGGAAAAAGGAGAGATTATGGGCATAAATATATCCAAAAAATGTTAGACTTTCTTTTTTTTTCCCCTTCCATTCCCCAGGAATGATTGCAATTAGTAGAATGGCTGTGCTGTACCCCCAAATTATAGTGGATCATCCTTTCTTCTTTGTGGTTCGGAACAGAATAACAGGTGAGCGCATTACAATATTTATAAAACAAAGGATTGAATATATATATAAATGAAATGCATACTCAAATATTTATACCATAAGACAGTATTGGAAAACATTCTTTGTCGCTCATTTGATTCTTTCCTCACGACTCTCATTAATTATGAAAATAAACTACTAAGGACCACCAGATATTCTAAACGCTACAATGACTTTGGTTCTTTGTTCTTTCACCCGTAGCTCTTTTGTGGATGGATAATCCTATCTGAGAACCAATATGGACTTGGTTCACGAGAGACATCACATCAGTCTCTTAATATCTTTTTCATTCATTGCAAGTTACCTCAAGTACTTCTAGAGCCGTGATGGCGAACATATGGCACGCGTGCCACAGGTGGCACACGGAGCCATATCTGTGGGCACGAGAGCGTTGCCCTAGCTCAGCTCCAGCGCACATGCGCATACCGGCCAACTGATTTTCGGGCCTTCCGGGCCCACTGGAAGTCAGGAAATGGGCCATTTCCGGCCCCCGGAGGGCCTCCAGATGGTGGGGGGAGGCTGTTTTCAACCTCCCCAGGCTCCTAGAAAGGCTCTGGAGCCTGGGGCAGGCGAAAAACGGGCCTTCCAGTCCCACTGTGCCATCACGGGCCAATAGCAGGGAGAGCGTGGAGGGTTGCACGCACATGCACGGTGGGGCGGGGCACATTGAATTATGGATGTGGGCACATGCGTGCGCGACCCCCCTGTGCTCCCCCCGCTTTTGGCACACAATGGCAAAAAGGTTCGCCATCACTTTCTAGAGAGTAGGGCTGGTTTTAACTATTGTTCCATAGTCAATATTGGAACCAGTAAATGATATTTTCAGGGAAACTACCCAACAATGAGACCGGTCCAGCAGGAGAGACACAGTCTTTGAAGATGTTTTAACCCCTCCTTTCTTGAGCCTACCCAGTAAACAGAAGCCATTTCCTTTATGGATAATTGTTCCACTGTTGAACTTGTTTTTAGGAATTATTATTATTGTTGTTGTTATTCGGAATCTGTACCCCTACAGCTCTTCTTTTCTTTCTTTAAGGTACCATCATTTTCATGGGGAGAGTAATGCACCCAGAAGCAATGAATCCAAGTGTGCATGATTTTGAAGAACTTTAATATCTCCACAGGTTTACCCATCTTCTCACAAAAGAAAACAAGCACACTGAGTTTGCAATTGATGTATTTAAGGTTTTCCATGTGGTGGTTTACTTTCTTTTCTTTTTTTAGTTCTCTCTCTTTTGCAATGTTACCTTTGAGATACTATTTAAAAAGACAAACCGTTTCCAGGTCTAACTTCAGCTATGAAATTGCAGACCATAGTTGTGGAAGGAAAGCTTTCAGTATTAAAATATATGTTGTTGTCTCCGTGATTTATTGTGTTGGTCCTTTAAAATAAAAATTTAAAAATATCCATGCTAGTGACCATCTTCTTGTCTTGGGAATTAATACCTAATTGCCTCTCACACGAAGCCATTCCAAATTTCTATAGCAGAACATACTTATGTGTTATTGGGAATTAATTAGTTAATTAATTGTCAAGGCTCTTTGAAGCCCAGATAATAATCCTCAAATGCTCCGATTTCTGAAGATGAGAGGGCAAGGTATTGGGAACACATTCCAGAAGTGGGAAGAGCTTAGATCAATGTTTTTCAATCCCAGCAACTTTAAGATGGATGGACTTCAATTCCTAGAATTCTTCAGCGAACCATACAAACTGAGGAATTCTGGGAGTTGAAGTCCACCCAGCATAAAGTCACTAGGGTTGAGAAATAATGGCCTAAATAGAAATTAGATCAGCTGAAACCATAACTAATTTGGATATATTTTAATTTAAATGTAATTAAATTTGAATTAAGTAACTCTGGTCAATATGACCACTCCCCATATATTGTGTGCATTTCCCAAAGTGACACAATAAAAAGTACAATTCAGCATTGTTATTATACTGTGAGCTAGTACCATAGCTAAAATTCTAGACATCTGCTACCTAAGCCACTATTTTCCAACTTGGACGACCTTCAGGAACGTGGACTCCAATTTCCAGAATTCGTCAGCAATTGCTGAGAACTCTGGAAGTTGAATGCCATACAACTATAAGATGCCCAGGTTGGTAAACACTAATCTAACTCATGGTGGAAATAATCCATTAATCTCTGTATGGTCCACCACTCTGTTTTATCTTCTTCTATGATGTGTCATCTACCACTGACTCCTATGCAAAAGCCAGGGAAGTGAGGAAGACTCCTTCAGGAAAAACAGGCAAGGTTCCCAGGATTAAGCAGAGAAAGGTTTTGAGAAAGAATTATTCCAGAACCAAACTCTGTCTTGCTTCAGAAAAAGCAAGAGTTCCAGAATATGTGGAAAACCTACAGGGATATCTAATCCTAATGCATTTATAAAAGATCAGGGACAGAGGTCATATGATGTCTTTAAAGTAGAGAAAGTGGCACAGTACTATAGCAGTGCATGAAGACAATGTATACTGCAGCTTTAAGTAACATAATTCCTATGGACCATTTTGTGTTTCCTAACAATTCCTATGGACCTTGTTTGTGTTTCCTAACAGTTGTCTCATTGCACCCCCTTTTTTTAAATCAGCAGTTAAAACTCTGGGCTTGTCAACCAAAGGTTTGGCAGTTTGAGACCCAAGAACGGGCTCGATGGACTGAGTTCCTGTTCCTGCTTGAGGTCCTGCCTACCTAGCATGCAAATGCAAGTAGACAAATAGGTACCACTTTGGTGGGAAGGTAACAGTGTTCCATATACTCATTGTATTGTCATGCCAGGCACATGACCATAGGAGCATTTTTTGGACAATGCTTGGCTCTGTTGGCTATGAAACAGAGGAGCACCACCCCCAAGTTAATTCCATGTTGTTACCAAGAAGACAATATGGGCCATTATGCAATCTCAAAGCCAATCTACCAGTGAGTAAGATTGATGTGTGCCAAGATAAAAAAAAAATTGCACTACTTTAATAAAAAAAGGGGGGGGTTAAATGTATTTCTGTAAATTGCTGCTGTAATGTAAAAAAAAAAAAGTGATGTCCATTTGAAACTGAGTAGCTGTCACTCATTCTAAATGGCTGTACTTTGTAGTCAACGGGGATTGGGGAGTTAATAATTTATCAAGGTTTCTTCCGGCAGGCAGATTAACAGGAAATCATGCAAGTCTCTGTGCGGCTCCTTGGATTGTTCATGAAAAACAGCAAATGTTTTTTTGTGGCTAAAATAGATAAGAACCATATCATCTGAATCCAGTTAAAGAGGATAATGGTAAAATCCCATTCAAAGCACTGAGGCACCAGTAGAGGCTTTTTTGTTCCTTTGATTTGATTTTGATGGGTTTGATTCTAGTCTCTGACAAATCTTTTTTTGGCAAGATGTCCAACACAAAACTGCATGTCCTTCCACACTGGTAGCTTTCCTGTATGTACCTTAGATCCCTCCCTGCCTCAAAAATAGCTTTATACTCATAAAAATGCAATTGTATTGATGCTTCTACGGATTAAAAGCACTTTATTAATAAAGCATGGGGAAAAACAGCAGAGATGGCAATCCTGTGCGTGCTTCATTAAGGAACATTGTCAAGATGTGTAGGATTGTGACTCTGTAATTGAATTCTTTTCTCATTCACTAATAATTAATTCACTAATTCTATTGCTTTGACCCCATTAAGGAAAAAGCAAAAGCTACTCCTAGGCATTAAATTGGTGCTTAGCTAAAGTGGAATCAATAATTCTAAAAAATAAAAGTGTACTATCTTTACTCTTTTTTTTTCTCCCATTTAATGTTTTACCTTTGGTAAAAATATCCAGGACTATATAGATGGCTTGTTGGAATGATGGAGCCAATAGCTATTCAATAGTAAGTTGCCGCCTGAGTCCTGATAAAATGGTTATTGTTTTCCAGATGATAATGTTCTTTCTAAATCTGCAATAATATCCACTCAAAACGAAAACAAGAAAGTGAACAAGAAGAGAGTGTGTTTGTTTATTTAATTCCTCCTTCCCATCTGTATACATGGCAGAGATGGGAAACTATGGTGGGTTGAGAGAGCTAAATGGTCTTCATTTTCTGCTGCTAATTTATTAGATTTATATTCCGCTTTTTCTCCAAGAACTAAAGATGGCCTTCAACCCTTCAGTTTATGCCCCAAATAGCAAAGCTATATGGTTGGTTGGGTTGAGGGAGAAAGACAACAGTTCAGAACTCCAATAGGATTCCAAAGCTTAAACATAAGCCTCCCCTGACCGATTGCGACACTAAAACACGCTAACAATAGTTGTCATCTTCACTATCAAGTGTTTCTGCATTTGGTTGCAGGAATTGGGTATATCTAGTTAATCGAAAAGAAGGACTAGGGGTGACATGATAGCAGTGTTCCAATATCTAAGGGACTGCCACAAAGAGGAAGTCAACCAGTGGTGAAATTCAGCCAGACCTATCCGGATCACGCGATCCAGTAGCACCAGCAGTGGGAGGCTCCGCCCACCCACCCGGACGTCATTATGTCCCGTTTTTGACCCTCTGTACATGCGCAGAAGGCTCTGTGCATGTGTGGAGGAAGTGCGTGTGAGCATGGCGAGCGCTCACATTTGCGATCCAGTAGCGAAGGTATATGCATTTCACCCCTGAGGTCAACCTATTCTCCAAAGCACCTGAAGGCAGTGCAGGTAGCAATGGATGGAAACTAATCAAGGAGAGATCCAACCTAGAACTAAGGAAAACTTTCCTAACAGAACAATTAACCAGTGGAATGACTTGACTCCAGAAGCTGTGGATGCTCCAACACTGGTGGTTTTAAGAAGATATTGGGCAAGCATTTTGTCAGCATTTCACGCTGCACTTACTCCAATGCTGACATTAGAAGAAGAAGCGGAGGCATTTGGAAAGAGACATTTGACCCTTCACCTACTTATTTTCACTGGAGAGAATATCACCTATGGGATGGGAGGGGGGAAATTCCTTTGAGGGGAGCAGTAGATTAGGGGCAGAGTGACGGGGAAGATGGCCAATGAGTATAGAGGAGTGGGGAAAGGAAAAGGAGGGTTTGCCTGAGGAAGCCAGACTTGGCTGCAATGAGTCGGGGATAGAATGTGCGTGCTTAATAAATTAGAGTTTTATTTCAAAGACTTTGTTTGAAATGCAATTTATTCAAGACGACTTCAAAGCCTGACACATTTGTCTGAAATGGTATAGGGTTTCCTGCCTGAGCAGGGGATTGGAGTAGAAGACCTTCAAAGGCTGGACCTTCCAACCCCTGTTATTATGTTATCTGATAGGTAACGTCAAGGGAGACTCTAATAACAATGAGGAAATAATTTCAACCTCAAAAGGTTTCGTGCCTGAAGTATAAGGCATCTCACTGCTACAACTGCAGACCTAACTTGTCACCGCTTCTTCCTTGTCTTGTCTATCAACTCATTATATTTGGAGACTTAAGAAAGTGGTAGGGATTTAGCTACAGCGTGTCCTTGAAGAGGCAGGTGAATAGACTCATTTTAGTCTGGTGCTTGGAGGTGGTTAATGGAGTGAAACACGATGAAGTTGAAACTAAGAATTATTGTTTATATAGAAACATTCTTGGTCAATTTGATGGGAGTGCACGCCCCTAAAAGAATACCTGGGGTCTTCCTCAATTTCTGGCTCTGTCTAGTGAGATCTTCATCCATTGATACATCAGTTGTGACCGTACTGAAGCAGAAGATCCTAGCCAAAATGGTTCATGCGCTAACCACCCTTCGCTTGGATTAATGCAATCGGCTTTACATGGGGCTGCCACTGAAGACTGAAAAAGGCAAAATGCAGCATCTTGCATACAGATGCATTGGAGACACCAGAGTCACATAACCCCTGTTTACAGTCACTGTATCGGTTACCTGCAAGTTTCAAGGAGCAGTTCAAAATGCTGGTTTTGATGTACAAAGCACTTTATGGCTTTGCAACTAGGACTGCCTTCTTGTCTAGTATCTATATCTCATTTCCCCAGCCTGAACTAGAAGGAGAAAGGACAACAGGGGTTATATTTAATTTGGTATGGCCTTCCTATTAAGGAATAGTTTCCTTTGGAAGTTACGCTAGCACTGATTTTCCAGAAGACTTAAGCTGCTCCGGAGTCCACCAGACAAGTGAAATGTCATGGTTGCACTTATTGTGCTTGGTTATTATTAATTAATAATTAATTCAACTTGGCCGACCGAACCAAATGCCCAATATTATTTTAATTATCCATTAATTATGTAGCTTAGAAGTAACTTGAAAGCACAGAATTTATTCAAGGGATTTTCCCCCCCCCCCTCATTTTACAGCAGGCTTTAGCCTCAGACATAATGAACCTGACTTTACTCAGAGGTGGGTTTCAGCAGGTTCTGGCCAGTTATGGAGAACCAGTAGCGGAAATTTTGAGTAG